AGTCGTCGCCGAAAAATATTGAAAAGCTACCTGGTCCACACGGTACAATTTTCTTGTATAAAATATTGTTTTTTCAACAAGAATTTGTCATAAAAAACAAATATTGAAAGGTTACCGGACACACCGGTTACAATTTCNTGAAAAACTACCGTGTGCACCTGGTACAATCTTCTTGTGAATAAATTATTGTTTTTTTCAACAAACAGTGGTCATAAAAAAAATTGAAAAACCACCGGCTGCGCCCGGTACAAGCTTCTTGTAATTAAATTATTGTTTTTTTAACAAACCGTCGTGATAACAAATATCGAAAAACTACCGGGCGCACCCGGTAGGATTTTCTTGTAAAGAAATCATTGTCTTTTTAACCAACAGTCGTCATAACAAATATTAAAAAACTAATAAATTGTGGTGGAAAATCAATTTTCTTGTAAAAAAGAATTGTTTTTCCACCACAAATTCTGCATAAAAAAATTGTGAGAAACTACCGTGCGCACCCGGCACAATTTTCTTGTAAATAAATTATTGTTTTTTTTTAAAAACAGTCGTCGTAAAAAATATTGAAAAATTAGCGAGCCTTTCCGGTACAATTTTCTTGTTAAAAAAATTGTTTGTCCACCAAAAATTTGGCATAAAATATATTAGAAAACTACCGGGCGCACCAGGTACCGTTGTCTGATTGTCTATATTTTTGTTGTTGAAAATTTATGGTTCCTTTGGCAGAAAACCATACCGGTTTAACCCGGTAGACTGTGGCTTTCATTCTTATGAAAGCATTTTTGCAAAAAAAGATTTTTTTTTTTAAATAAAACCAGACCGGCTCTGCCCGATAGACTGCCTATATTATTGTTGTTGAAAATTTTTCGAAAAAATAATGTTTTCGCAGCAGAAAATTGTACCGGTTTCACCCGGTAGACTGGGGCTTTCATTTACATGAAAGCATTTGTTTGCAAAAAAAAAAAAATTTTTCTAAAATAAAACCGTGCCGATCACGCCCGGTAGACTATCTGTATCATTGTTGTTGAAAACTTATGGTTTCCTTAGCAGAAAACTGTACCGGTTCCGCCCGGTAGACTGTCTATATTATTGTTGTTGGAAATGTATAGTTTCCTTGGCAGAAAACCGTGCCGGTTCCACCCGGTAGACTGTTGGTTTCATTCTTATGACAGCATTTGTGGCAACAAAAATATATTTAAAAAAAATAAAACTGTACCGGTTCTGCCCGGTAGACTGTCTATATTATTGTTGTTGAAAATTTATGGTTTCCTTCGCAGAAAACCGTACCGGTTTCACCCGGTAGACTGTGGCTTTCATTCTTATGAAAGCATTTGTTGCAAAAAAAGATTTGGTTTTTAAATAAAACCGTACCGGTTCTGCCCGATAGACTGCCTATATTATTGTAGTTGAAAATTTTTAGAAAAAATAATGTTTCCCCAGCAGGAAATTGTACCGGTTTCACCCGGTAGACTGTGGCTTTCATTTACATGAAAACATTTGTTTGCAAAAAAAACGATTTTTCTAAAATAAAACCGTGCCGGTTACGCCCGGTAGACTGTCCATATCATTGTTGTTGAAAACCTATGGTTTCCTTGGCAGAAAACTGTACCGGTTTCGCCCGGTAGACTGTCTACATTATTATTGTTGGAAATTTATAGTTTCCTTGGTAGAAAACCGCACCAGTTCCACCCGGTAGACTATTGGTTTCATTCTTATGACAGCATTTGTTGCAAAAAAATATATATTGTTTAAAAATATAACTGTAGCGGTTCCGCCCGGTAGACTGTCTATCGGGCAGTCGGGTATATGTCTGTATATTATTGTTGTTGAAAATTTATGGTTTCTTTGGCAGAAAACCATACCGGTCTCAGCCGGTAGACTGTGGCTTTCATTTACATGAAAGCATTTGTTTGCAAAAAAAAAACATTTTTCTAAAATAAAACCGTGCCGGTCACGCCCGGTAGACTTACTATATCTAATTGGTTTCATTCTTATGACAGCATTTCTTGCAAAAAAATATATATTTTTTAAAAATATAACTGTACCGGTTCCGCCCGGTAGACTGTCTATATTATTGTTGTTGGAAATTTATAGTTTCCTTGGCAGAAAACTGAACCGGTTCCACCCGGTAGATTGTTGGTTTCATTCTTATGACAGCATTTGTTGCAAAAAAATATATATTAAAAAAAAAACTGTACCGGTTTCGCGCGGTAGACTGTCTATATTATTGTTCTTGAAAATTGATGGTTTTCTTGGCAGAAAACCGTACCGGTTCCACCAGGTAGACTGTTGGTTTCATTCTTATGACAGCATTTGTTGCAAAAAATATATATTTTTTAAAAATAAAACTGTACCGGTTCCGCCCGGTAGACTGTCTATATTATTGTTGTTGAAAATTTATGGTTTCCTTGGCAGAAAACTGTACCGGTTCCGCCCGGTAGATTGTCTATATTATTGTTGTTGGAAATTTATAGTTTCCTTGGCAGAAAACCGTACCGGTTCCACCCGGTGGATTGTTGGTTTCATTCTTATGACAGCATTTGTTGCAAAAAAATATATTAAAAAAAAAACTGTACCGGTTCCGCGCGGTAGACTGTCTATATTATTGTTGTTGAAAATTTATGGTTTCCTTGGCAGAAAACCGTACCGGTTACACCCGATAGACTGTCTATATTATTGTTGTTGAACATTTATGGTTTCCTGGGCAGAAAACCGCACCGGTTTCACCCGGTAGACTGTGGCTTTCATTCTTATGAAAGCATTTGTTGCAAAACAAATTTTTTTTTTTAATAAAACCGTACCGGTTCTGCCCGATGGACTGCCTATATTATTGTTGTTGAAATTTTTTAGAAAAAATAATGTTTCCGCAGCAGAAAATTGTACCGGTTTCACCCGGTAGACTGTCCATATTATTGTTGTTGGAAATTTATAGTTTCCTTGGCAGAAAACCGTACCGGTTCCACCCGGTAGATTGTTGGTTTCATTCTTATGACAGCATTTGTTGCAAAAAAAAATATATTTTTCAAAAATAAAACTGTACCGGTTTCGCCCGGTAGACTCTCTATATTATTGTTGTTGAAAATTTATGGTTTCCTTGGCAGAAAACCGTACCGGTTTCACTCGGTAGACTGTGGCATACATTTTTATGGAAGCTTTCGATGCAAAAAAAAGATATCTTTCTAAAATAAAACTGTACCGGTTTCGCCTGGTAGACTGCCTAGATTATTGTTGTCAAAGATTGTTGGAAAAATAATATTCCCTCGGGAAAAAAGTACCGGTTCCACCCGGTAGACTGCATGTATAAATGTTGTCAAAAATTTGTTGAAAATCTATTATTTTCAATGAAAAAAATTGTAGCGGTTCTCGCCCGATAAACTCTTGCTACTGTTGCAAAACATTTCTTTTTAATGAAAATTGTTCCGATTGCGTCCGATAGCCACGGAATATTATTGTTGTAATGAATTTGCTCTTCGATCAATATTTCCCGTGAAAAAAAAAAAATACCGGGCGCTCCCGGTAGCATTCTCATCGCGTCGTGATTTTCGAAGCCTTCAAAACGAAGAAAATCTTTGATTTCAACATTCTTTTAATATTGCATCCGCCATCTGCAGGAACAAGGCGATACTATATTTCACTCCGATCGTTAGATGGCACCTCTTCTTATTTCAGCATTCCCCCTCCCTCATTTCCGGTTTGGGATTTTGGTCCTTTGGGATTTTGTCCCCCATCCATATTTCCCGGAACAATATCTGAGACTCGAACCACTCAACCTTTGCTCTTACCAACGACCAATAAAACCAACCGCACAACAATCGCTGCCTGACTACAGTACGTGCATCATTGTCATTCCTCGCTCGTTGCACGTCCCCCCTCGTTCATTACACATATGTAATGAACATATACTCAGTTGATTCTCCACCATCGTCAAAACACTTCACCTCTGACATTATTCCACTCCCTCCAGTGAGATCTACCGTCGCCAATAAGAATTCATCACCCCCGAGGATTAACCACCAACGAAGTGAAATATCCGACGTCACGGGGATAACAAACCCCCGAGATATGTGCGAGGATCAACGAAGGGAACAGCAGACTCCCTCCTATTCCATCCAACCATAAAAACAAAAGGCAAGACCTGAAAAAATCTCCCACAGAATCAACATCTCCCGAATAAAAAAAGTACAGGTGAACGAACCAGCGAACGAAAACATCAATTATCCAGTGAAAAAAAGTGTTGTAACCCTCGGTTATGTCGCACGTTTTATGTGCTCCGTCATGAGTTGTCTTGCGCAATCCACTGATGCATCACTGGTGTTGGCATTAGCCATGTAATAACCTTACACAGTCACAAAACTCGTTGGCCCACTGTATTTGTTAATTTTCATTTTGTTATTTTCGGTTCGAGGTGTAAAGTGGAACTCATGGTTCATCGGGAGTGTGTCTTGTGAGGGTGATAAACGAGGATATTTACCTGTATGATGTGAAGGCGTTGCCCCACATCGGCGTCGTCGCCGTCGTGGGTTTTTTTTTCTTTCTTTTTTACTGTTAATTTTGATAATTTTTTTTCCCCCATATGAGCTTTTCATTTGATGCACCTTCGCATAATCGAGCTGGTTACCTGATTTAACGCCAAGTATGTGCAGCCGTTGATTAATTTTATATTTATCTGGTGAAGTAATTCACACGGAGAAGAAAAGTTTCTAGTTTTTAGCGAAAATCCTGGAAATAAGTGGAAATGGCATTTGTTTTAAAAGATTTTTTGTTTTAAATCGGAGATGAAAGTTCTAATTATCAGTCTTTTTTAGTTCGATCTGGTGTAATTGTACCAGAGTTGAAGCACGATTCCTCTTATTTGAAGGAAATCTTGGTTCTGGAGTTAATTTTGGATTCTTAAATAAAAAATATCAGGTTTAATATCAGGTTTTGTCGAAGTATATCTCAATTATCCCAGAATTTGTTCTTCGTATTCTCTTGATTTGAGAACGCAAAGGTTCTTAATTTAAGAACCCAACGGTTTATGAACTGATCCCTTGACACGATTGTTTTTATTTCAAGAAAATCTTGGTTCTGGAATTAATTTTGGATTCTTAAATCAAAAACATCAGGTTTTTCAAATCAAGAATATTCTCGTTCTTGAATTAATGGTTTTTCCTACAGCAAAATGAATCTAGTCATGTTCGTAAATTGTTTGTTAGTCCAAGTATATCTCAATTATTTCAGAATTTGTTCTTCGTATTCTCTTAATTTGAGAACGCAAAGGTTCGTAATTTAAGAACCCAACGGTTTATGAATTGATTCCTTGACACGATTGTTTTTATTTAAAGAAAATCTTGGTTCTGGATTTTATTTTGGATTCTTAAATCAAAAACATTTGAATTTTCACATCAATAATATTCTTATTCTTAAATTAGGGCCGGTTGCACCAGCTCTGGGTATCGAAAATGTCAGATAAGAAAAAAACTAAATTTGGATGTTCGATGGATTATTTTACCCAGGAGAGTATCTCAAATTTATCTCAGGAACAAAAAATAAAATTTAATCGTAAAGTTAAATCAGTGTTAATTCAAATCGGGCTACAGGATAAATAAAAAATTGTTCTTCGGGTCAAACATTTGACCCCGAGGATAAATTTTACCCTGGGGTTTATTTGGATAACAGGGCTTGATTGCAACCGGGCTTTAATAATTTAATAATTTTTCCTGTGACAAAATTAATCTACTCATGTTTATAAATTTTTTGTTAGTCAAAGCATAACTCAATTATTCCAGAATTTGTTCCCATTCGTATTCTCATAGCTTGAAAAGAATACGAAGAGATGCGAAGATTCTTAATTTAAGAACCCAACAGGTCATACATGATTTGAGGGGTAACAGAGGGTTGCTTATTTCTCGAGTTGAAAAAAAATTCTTTGTTAAAATTTTTTATTTTGTTATCGACATTTTTCGCACCCGAAGCACATTGTCCTCCTTCAGGAGATGATATCATCTCCTCTGGTTTTTAAAAATATTGTTAATTTTGTATCGAACAGTTGCTTGAAAGTTCTGACGAATCAGCGGTCTTCTGTTATCCCTCTTATCTCATGTGAAACAAGTACACTGAGAGAAAAAAAAACATTTTCTCAAACAAGTCGTGTTTAAATCAAAAGAATTACAAGTTGAGATTCACCAAAAATGACCATTTGAAGACTGTCCTGAGATGAAAAATTTTTGTCGCAAAAATAGATTTCATTGTTTTTAAAAATATTATATTGTGCACCAAGGGCGGAAAGTCACGTTTTTTCCGCCCGAGGTGCACATGCAATTTTTTAACATTCATGCATAGAAAAATTTGTATTTTGCTTTCTGATAAGCGGGAGGAAAGTAAATACTTTCCGCTCAAGGGAGGAATGTACTGATTTCCGCTCTTGGGTGGAAAGTTATCAGTACTTTCCGCCCGAGGGAGCAAGTTTCCACCCTAGAGCGGAAAGTACTCACTTTCCTCCTGCTTATCAGGGAGCAAAATACGAACTTTGCGTGCAGGTGTATGAAATATGTAATTTCTGGCCCTGCTTTTTCGTTATTCGATACTCCCGTACGTATTCTACTCCCGAAGAATGTTCGTTTTATTCGACACAAGGGACAGTAGTATTTCGTTTCTCAAAAACTTTTTGATAAATATCCCGCTACTAAGGTATATTGCGCGCTCCGCGCGCTATAAATATACGCATTGAACCTTATAGTTTTTTTTAAATAAAAAATACATCAATTCCTCATGAATGCATGAGGAATGCATGAAATGCATTGGATATCCCAGTTGTTGTAATGGTAAATTATTAAAATTTATTGGCAAACTTCAGCTTTCAATTTAAATGGAATCTGATTTACACTACTTCTTTGTTAGTGTTTGTTCAGAATATTTTCCGTAGCTATAGTTATGTTTATAGCTATAGAAATAGTTATAACTATCGATATTTATATGTATATCGATAAATATTTATAGCTATAGTTACAAATAGTTATAGTTATTACGGATAACTATTTATAACTATAGGCATCTATAACTATAGTTATGGCTATAGTATTACCTATGAATAGAGTTAAATTATAGCCGAATGACAAATTCTAGTCGGTGACAGAAAACGTTCCATGGATTTTTTTAAAAAGGGATAAGAAATTTTTATCATGAAAAGGCACCGACAAGTATTTTGTTGTTGTTTGAGACTTAAACTCAAATCAAACAATTCATTTCCTGGTAATTTTCACATTGCGATTTTCTGTGTTCAAATAAGACGCATTTGATACTCAACTTTCGCCATTGTTATTCTGAAATCAAGTAATCATTTCCATATTCCCATAACAATGCCTTCTAGAACCTCGAGTTTCTTAAAATCAGTACCTTAATCCTGGAAACAAGAAACTTTTCTTCTCAATGCACTAATTACAACTTTAATTGATTGTGATTTGTTGATTTTCAGGTAGAGGCATCTGATTATTTTCGTATATTATCATTTGATTTATGCAGACGAGTGATAGAGGAGGATTGAGCTGAGGGTATAGAGGTTAATAGACAATGTCTCAATTAAACATAAGCACGGGTAAACGAGGCAGGGGAGTTGTTGCCAGTACCTCAGCAACAGCTGTGTCTGCGTCGAGTAGCTCCACAGATTTGGCTAGTCTGTTTGAGTGCCCTGTCTGCTTCGAATACGTCCTGCCACCGATTCTGCAATGTCAGAGTGGACACTTGGTGTGCAGCAATTGTCGACCCAAATTGAGCTGTTGTCCAACGTGTCGTGGACCATTAGGTGATTGGATGAGTAAATTTATGGGGGGAATCACTTTCGAGGGGAGAGCGGGGCAGAATGGACTCTTTTTGAGAGAGAATCGAGCAGGATATTTTTTCGAGACATTTAATTATCTCGGGAACTGTTAGGTTTGGACAAAATTGTCTGAAGTCGTTTTTTGGAGAGAATTTCGTAAGTTGCAAACAAAGTTTTTTGACATTTTGTCCTTGGATTAATTGTTAACGAGATGAATGCGAAATCGATGGTAATAAGAAATGTAGTTTTCGAATTTTCTACGATTTTTTTCTCATTTGGATGAATTTGTGAGCTTTATCAAAACAGAAGCGTATTTTTCACAATACTTATTCCCGGAATACTTTCCGGGAAAGTCGGTTTTTGAGAAGAATTTCATCAACTACAGTCAAGTCCTTTAACATCAGTAAAAAAAAGTCTCCACATTTTTCCTTCAATTTACTTGTTACGAATACAAAGTTCATGACAACGAGGATGAAGATTTTCACCATTTACGAATTTCCAGTCCTTCATTTAATTATTCAATTATCGATTTTTTTCTCATTTTGGAGATTTTTTTATGAGTTTTACAATTAGATCGAATCTATCGGAATTGTACTCTTTGGTTAGAACGCATTTATCGGCTAGAGTGAGACAAAATTGAATGCCGTTCAAAAATGGGGGTTGGGATTCAGAGAAAATCATCGAAAGTCGTTTTTCGAAGAGAATTTCATGAGCTAGAATCAAAGTCTTTGACATTTTTCTTTCACATTACTTGTTAACAAGATGAATACAAAATTAATGATAACGAGAATGTGGATTTCAGTATTTACGACTTTCCAGGCTTTCAATTAATTATTGACTTATCAATCACTTGAGATTGGCAGAAGGAAATTCGACGACTTTCTTTTTTCATTTCGTAGATTTTCTTGTAAGCTTTACAATGCGACCGAATTCACCTGAGACGTACTTTTTGATGATAACATATTGATGAAGAACAGTGACGAAAAATGGATTCGATCGACCACTTCGGGTTAAAGAGAAATCTAACGATGTCTTTCCTCATTTTTTGAGAAGATTCGATGGGTCCATTCTGCCGTAGGTTCTCTTAAGTTGAAAAATAACTCTAATTTTTTTATTTTTTCCTCAATTCTTCAGGTAATATTAGGAATCTTGCCATGGAAAAGGTAGCCAGTAACGTTATGTTCCCTTGCAAATACTCCACCAGTGGTTGCACAGTATCAATGGTGCATATTGAAAAACCCGACCATGAGGATGCTTGTGAATTCCGTCCGTACAGCTGCCCCTGTCCTGGTGCATCCTGCAAGTGGCAGGGATCCCTTGAGGAGGTCATGCCACATCTCGTTATGAGCCACAAAAGCATTACTACACTTCAAGGTAAATAAAAGGATTTTTATTTTTGAAAATTTTTGTTACACGTAAATTCACTCAACCGTTCATAATTCTTCCAAAAAACATTCCGCCTCACCAGCCATTCATGGTCACTAAACTTTTACTAGCTGAGTAACGAGTTTAGTAACGATTTTACTAGTTACTCAAATTAGTAAAAACAAGTGGGAAATTGCTCTTGCATACTGTATAGTTATTTTTCCTGATAAATTAGCAATATGCCTCCAAATGGCAATTTTGCACATCACTTTCTGCTATCATATCTAATTCACATACCATTCGTTTACTGGCTTCCCCATGGAAACCTTGTATGTGACCGATATTTCGATTTTTTAATTTCGACTGGAAATGGTCTAGAATGTTATGAAACGTGAAGAAATAGTGTTTTTTAGGGTCATGTCTGTGTGTATGTGACAACTCGGTTTTTTGGTGATAAATTTTTAGAAAATTCAACACAAATACGGTGAAATTTGTAGAAGAAAATCTGAAATTTTGCCTCATTGTGGCTATTATTGAGCTCAACTTGGGCGCCGTTCGAGCCCGATTGGTCCACTAGTTCGTGAGATACAACTTGTTTAAATTTCTTTTCTCCTCAATATCTCAAAAACTACTTCACCGATTTCAATTTTGTTTTCAAAATACTCGTCTCGATGGCCTTTATCTAGGCCAATCAGAATATATAGACTCTTTAATACACAGTCTGGAGATATTACCGTTTTTCCGTTTTTCATAAAAAATCTTGTACACACGATAATTTGAGGAAAAAAGGAGATAGCAAGTTGAACTTTGGTATGATTCTAGCTCTTATAATACTAAAGGTTGGTATTGTGGATGGGCGCAATCGATCCAGCCGTTCCTGAGATATTCAACCTTTTGTGTAGATATATTCCTTCAAATATCTCATGAACTACTTGACGGATTGCAATTTTGTTTTCAAAATACTCGCCTCGGCAGCTATCATCTGGATCAATCAAAATATATATATCCGTTCATACCAAGTTTCCAAGATATTCCCGTATTTTCGTTTTTTTAATTTTTTCATTCTCGTACGCACGATAATTTGAGAAAAAATGGGGATAGCCAGTTGAAATTTGGCATGATTATAGCGCTTACAATACTGAAGGTTAGCGCATTTGTACAGGCGCAACCGACCGAGCAGTTTCGGAGATATTTAACGTTTTGCATAAATCTTTTTCATTAAAAAGTTGAATATTTTCCTGTGAACACCTGGTAGCATGTGGTTACGGTCGCATGTCTTTCACAAGGATAGGGAATTGCTGCGGATCCATTCGGAAGCTTACTACGAATGGAATTGGTAGAAATAAAAAAAAAAGAAAGAGACTAATGACGCAAAAAGTAACGAACACATGCCTTCTGTCGGATAGACTCGGACCCCTGCTTGTTTCACTGCCCTATCACTCCCCTTACCCTTTGGTTGTTTCACGGGCTGACAAAAACAAAAAACTACTATCCCTTGTTTCGCATAAAACAAAGATTTTTCGCGAGCAAAATACGTATGGGAGTATCGAATAACGAAGGAGTAGTGTTAGAAATGACATTTCTTGCGTGTACAGAGAATGCAATTTTTTTTCAACTACTAAATATATTTTTGCGACAAATTTTTCATTTCGGCGCACTCTCTGCATGTTGGGCACAAAAAAATCCTTTTTTGATAATTTAAAAAAAAATATTTTCTTGGCACAAGTAAGACTTGTTTGAAAACTTGGTCGTTTTTCTCTCAGTGTACTTCCTATGATTTGTGGTGGGGACGGAATAATCGTTTAAATTACATAATTAATGACATTATGGAAAGGGTCACATTCAAAAAAAGATATTTCATAATTATGTATACATCTTGAGAACTTTAGTAAAATTCAGAAAATTTACTCTAAATGAGTTAATTTTCGATTTTCATGCAAACGATTAAGAAGTGGAAAATGGACAAGATTCAAGTCGTTGTATAACATTCAGTATGGCTCAAAACACTTGTTTCAATTAGAATTCATAATTCTGATTGGCTAATAATTCGCGTGAACTTAGTAGCTAACAAAAAACGCGATATTTTCTAATTCTTCAAGCTCACAAATTATTTTTTGCGTCATAATTGCAAATTTTCTCATGTTTATTATGTGCGCTATAGTATAATTCGTCATTTTTGGATTTTCATTCATCATGTACTTTCATGAATCGCGTAAATATTAAATATGAGAGATACATACAGAAAAACCTAAACGTAAATTACGTTTAGAGAAGTCGCCTTTTACGCTCTCTGAAGCGTATATTCTACGCTTCAAGTTGAAGCGTAAATTACGCTCAATATTGCCGTAAATTACGATTACATAAACGTAATTTACGATTTCGTGTTCGTTAATTACACGCTTAAAATCGCTGTACATTACGATAACATAAAGACAATTTATGATTTTGTATTCGTAAATTACGATGCTGTTCTCTGTATTTTTCGATTACTTACCTGGAATTTCCAACGAAGAAAAAAAGTTATTTCAAGCGTAAAATACCATGTTTTTTTCGTAAATTACGTATAAGTAAATCGTAAAGTACGATTCTAGTAAGATCGTAATTTACACATTTCTTGAGCGTAAAATACGCTTAGTGAAACGTAAAAGACACTTTGTTTGGGCATAATTTACGTTTGTATTTTGACCGTTAAATACGCCTTTTTGAAGCCGCTTAGCGAAACATAATGTACACTGAGAAAAAAACAACAAAGTTCTTAAACAAGTCTTACTTGTGCCAAGAATAGTTTTTTGAAAATTATCAAAAAAGGATTTTTTGTGCCAAACATGCAGAGAGCCCGCCGAAATGAAAAATTTTGGTCGCAAAAATAGATTTAGTAGTTCAAAAAAAATTGCATTCTCTGTATACGCAAGAAATGTCATTTCTAGCACTACTCCTTCGTTATTCGATACTCCCATACGTATTTTGCTCCCGAAAAATCTTTGTTTTATGAGAAACAAGGGATAGTAGTTTTTCGTTTCGGCTGTCCAATAATCACAGACAAGAAATGAACACTTAAATGAAACAATAATAATGATATGATAGCAATTTTGTAATTTAGGAATAAAATATTTGTTGATAAATTTTCCTCTATATGAGATATTTTCATCCTGAAAAGGCACCGTCTGGTGTGAATTATCCGCCTCTTGAGCCAAATATTTCGTTGCTGTCGAAAGCAGAACAATTATTCATGTTTGACACTTTCAAATTCGAATCAAACAAAGTCTTTTTTGGCAATTTTCAACTAGCAATTTTGTCGGCTCAAACAAGACTTGTTTGACAACATGATTAGTTTCTCTCAGTGTACGTTTAAGTTTTCTGAGTGTATCGGAATTGCAGCGTTTAACGTCTGGGTGGATTATCTTTCGAACGTTACCTCGATCGTTTTTCCATCTTCATAATGTAAAATATATCACAATTTCCATTGGATTTTACATCACGCAGGAGTGTCTAAAAATTATGATTGTACAACCAAAAAAAAGAAAAAAACTGAACATTTTCAAAGAATGTTTTTTTAAAAGATTAAGAAATAAGTCCGATAGAGCGAAAATAGTGAATGGACAGTCATTGACTACTGTGACAAATGACGACCTAACAGCCGTTAGATATATCAAATTATTAATTTTCAATTCCCTCCCTATTGGGTTTATTTCCCAATATTATTCAAATACGCTCTTTGAAAATGTTCAGCTTTTTTTCAACGTTTTTTTAATTGTACAATCATAATTTTTGGAGACTCCAGGGCTATGTAAAACTTAATAGCAATTGGAGATCATTTCAGATTATCAAAATAAAAAAAATAACCAAGATTACGTTCGAAAGATAATCCACCCGGGCCTTCATCATTTTCTTTCACTGAATTCTGAATATTCGTCTGGTCGATGAAAGAAGAGCACGTGGTACAATCCACGTGCAGTGTTGTATTATATTCTTCAAATCAGATTACGCAGCTGCCAACGTTCTGAGTACAGGAAGCATCTGACAATAATGAATAAAGACAAGAGAGAGGTTTCAACGGAATGAAATTTCAGTGTTTTGTAGACATTCAACACTTAATGGAGTATTCACTCATGCTCAGACTCATTTCTAACAATGGCGAGAAAGATGATAAATAGACAGGATTTGGAAAAGTCGATCTACACTTATGCTAATAATTAATGCTTTCTGGGAGAAGTGGCAATGAAAGTTCTTCACGTTCTTTATGTGAGGTAGTAATAAAATTCTGAAAATTACATTAAAGCGGCAGGAGAGAAGCGAAGAAATGTGGAACAATAGAATCAGGTAAAATACCCAATACTTGGACAAAACGAAAAATCGGACCTATAGTTGGACAGTACAGAAATATCTAACTATCAACAAAAGAATCTTCAGAAAAGAAAATTACAAATTGAACTTCTAATCTTGATAGTTTAGCTCAAATAAATCTCAGGTTTTAATATTTATTACTCATATAAATTTATGACAAATAATTGATAATAATACGGCTCCGAAAGTAGTCGACTCGCGCCATTGCACATATGAAAAAATCGTATAGAAATTTTCTGTACAGATTGCGTACAGAAATTCTATAGGATTTCCGTATATGATATTCGGGTACATCTGTACGAATATTTTCTATACGAATTATTTCTATACATGAATTTTTACATACATTTTTGTTTTCATACGAAAAATGTCTAAACGCTCCAGAGAAAAACGTAGAGAAATGTCGCAACTCCATGCGAAATGTTTCTATACATGTGGCAGTGGGTCGTATTGGATCAAACCTATAGAAGTCTTATGGAAATACTTTGTATAAAAAACATCCGTATAGAAATATCCGAATAGCATATACGAAAATCCTATAGAAATTCTATACGCAATCCGTATAGAAAATTCATAGGGGAGAGTGGGGTAAAATGGACACTTTAGACTTTTGTTTTAATTACTCATAATTGAGAAACAAATTTATCAATTGAACTCCGTTTAGGCTTACCACAAAGGGAAAGAATTGTTCTTTGCAATGAAAAAAAAATTCTTGAATTTTATCAACATTTCAACCCGTCATTAACATTTTAAAAAAAGTCAAAAGTGTCCATTTTACCCCAACCTCCCCTATGCGATTTTTCATACGTTTGTAATCATTTTTGGTGCGATTACAGTGATTATTTTATCATGTTATTGTAATAAGAACGTATAATACCTATATAAATATGCACGTAACAATTATATCGATAGTTATTATAATGATAAGCAATTTCTATAACACATAGGGGAGGTTGGGGTAAAATTGACACTTGACTTTTTTTTAAATGTTAATGACGGGTTGAAATGTTGATAAAATTTGATATGTTTCTTTTCATCGCAAAGAACAATTCTTTCCCTTTGTGATGAGCCTAAATTGAGCTCAATTGATAAGTTTGTTTCTGAGTTGAGTAATTAAAACAGAAGTCTAAAGTGTCCACTTTACCCCCCTCTTCCCTATTTTGAAAAAAAAAATTTGATGTTGTAATTACTTGTCCAACTATACCTCCTGAATCCGTAGTAGTTGGACACAGTCGACACAGTGGACTGAAGTGTCTAACTTCAGTTCTATGTGCTGAGGAGCAGCAGTAGTAGGTGGACACGGGTTGTGGAATATTTTTGTTCGCTGTTTTGTGACTCAAAATTGTGAAAAAAAAACTTGCAATTCGATCATGATTGTTGAATTAATAACAAAATTCATCGACCGAAGTAATATTTTGCGTGTGACACTTGCTCAAGTAATTTTGTTTACTTTTTTGTACCATAACCTCAAAATCTCCAGTGCTGAGTAAGTAAACTAATTTTATTTATAACGTTCATTGATTTAAACATCGAATTATTAATAAATTTGCGTTGAAGTATAATATTTATGCGTTTTATATTACTTCCAGATGTTTTCATGTAAATTTCAACAATGGTTAATGAAAAATCTTCAAGAAAAAAGCAGCCTCCAAAGAGGTACGCAAACGAACAAGCAGATGAACCGAAAAAGATCCGTTCTATTAAAAAAACAGTTATTAAGAGTGGAAGTGTCAAAAAAATAATGAACAGTGAAAAAAACTACAGTGTTAGTGATTTACAAAAAGCTTTAAATGCAATAGGAGAAGGTCAAACGTTGAGACAAGCTGCCAAAAATTTCGGAGTGCCCAAAAGCACATTATATCTTAAATCAAGAAATTTCGTGCCTCTCGAGTGCAGAAAAGGTCCTAAGACTATACTCAGTGATGATGAAGAAAGTAAAATTATAAAATGGATGGTGTTCTGTGCAAAAGTAGGTTTTCCTGTTACAAAGGCTCAATTGTTGGATTGTGTACAAAAACATTTTGGTGATAAAAAGACTCCTTTCAAGAACAATCGTCCTGGTAAACACTGGTACAACGCTTTTATGAAGAGACATTCAAATTTGAGTAAGAGAATTGTTAAAAACTTGACCTCTACTCAAGCTTCTGTCAGTGAAGGGGATCTGCGAAGTTGGTTTTCTAAAGTAGGAAGGTATCTTGAAAAAAAATCACTTCTAAACATAGAAGCAGATCGAGTTTTCAACTTGGATGAAAGCTCATTTATGCTTGTTCCAAAGGACAACATTGTGATAACAGAAAGAGGTGCCATAAATGTGCCTCAAATTGTCAATGGTAATGAAAAAGCCTGCTTTACCGTGCTTTTCACAGTTGCTGCTTCAGGAAAAATGCCTCCTCCAATGATTCTCTTCGATTTGAAGACTGCTCCGAAAAAAAATATACTAGATCAGATACCAAAAGGCTGGGGCGTTGGAAACACAAAACGTGGGTGCATGACAGCCGACAGTTTCTTCAGCTACATAAGCAATGTTTTCTTTGAATGGTTAAAAGATAACAATTACGTCTTCCCAATTGTGTTATACGTGAACGGGCATTCATTTCATCTTACGCTGCCACTGCTCGATTTCTGTAAAAAAAATCAAATCGAATTGGTAGTGTTGTGCCCTAATGCCGCACACATCATCCAACCCCTTGACGTTGCTGTCTTCCACCCATTGAAAGAGTCATACAGAAAAATTCTGCGACAGTGGCGAGTAGATAATAATGTAGTTAATGTTAACAAATCAATGTTCGCACCAATATTGAAGTTAGCTTTGGACGCTGTTGATTTGCCTGACAGTATCGTGAATGGGTTCGAATCTTGTGGGTTATATCCGTTTAATCCAGACCGAATTGATTACAATATTGTTTCCTCGCCTGATGCAGTCGGAAATTGTAACTCGAAACATCTAGACATGTTAGAATATTTCGAAAACAGTCTGATTAGTCAAGAAGCCTTAGAAGAGTTCAAGAGAAATGAATTTGTAGATACTTGGCCTGGTAATCTAGGAAATGAACAGCTTTTTGAGACTTGGCGCGAAATAAAAAGGCGCTGTGAGGAAATAGATCCAGAAATGCTAAACGATTATTTAACCGTGAGCTCAATTAGCTGTTCATTAACTAGTGACTCGCAGGATCAAATGGAATTGTTACAAATCAAAATAAAAGAAGAAATAGAATAATTATTTTCCATAATTTTATGAATAATGTAATTACATGGGTGTAACTAACTCATTTCTTCTTATGGCGATATTCTGTTGATAAAATAAATTGTGTTAACATATATTTCGTCTCCCATTTATATAACTCACTCAGTTTTACTTTTATTATTGCGCTGTCAGTGTTTTTATGTGGACGTATATATGGGGTATTCCATGTGAACTCACTCAAGTCAAGACCCTCACCATCCCCAATCATATTGCCGATTTTTCCTGTGGTTGTATATGGAAAAATATGACTTCTCTAATTTTTTCAGATTTTTTGAGGCATCCTATGGGCAGCCATGTTTTTTTCCAAGTTTTATCTTCAAATGCCTATAACTTCCGTAAAAATCAACGGATTTGAGTTTTTTTTTAAATGTGCGTCTTCGAACACCATTTCCATATAAAAATATGCCAATTTTTTTCAATTCGTTCTTCCGTCGATTTCTTCAGAAAAACCTTTAAAAAAATGATCAATTTAGTTGTGCACTTGACCCACTTGGCATCCTTAATGAAAACGTACTCAAGTGCTTTGTTATGAAACATTACAAAATTCGACTCATTATCTTCCACCGTTTCCTGGGATACTCTACCGCCGATACAGCATTCCCTCGACAGAGAGGGGGCAGGGGGTCGTAGTTCTGTGACGTAAAATGGAAGAGGGGTCTATGTTTGTGACGGCTCGTTATTGGGGGGTGAGAGGACTAAAAAGACCTCTTATTTAAATGGTTCCCTATGATACATCTGTACATGACACATAATGTCAGAGCAGGAAAGGGAATTCGTCCAAAAGGTTCAATGCGAACGTATGCCTCCGAGATAGAGTAAATATAGAAACTCTGAAGGAGGGACAGTGTTGTGTCAATCATTAATGAAAAAGTTTTCAAGTATTGCTTCACGAAACATTAGATAATTGGACATTATGAAAAAAAATTAGGTTCGTTACTCGGCTGAAAACAACTTTTCTGACTCGTGTGATTGCATTCGTTTCGGCCTGCAACCCTCACTCGTCAAAAAAAATTTTTTCGGCCTTGTGACGAAAATAGTTGTTACTGCTTTAATACGGCTCACCGCCTCGTGCTCACGTACGCAGTCGATCCATGGGATCGACCCATGCGAATGTCAACGTTTGTTTTCAAAATTGATTATTTCCAAATCTATAAAGAATAACTGGATCAAACAAACAAAATTGGAAACCGGAATACTGTAGCTTCAATTAGATACCGGTTTCATAATTTTCCATTCATTAGAAATAATTGAATTTGAGTTGTATTGAGTACACACTGCGCTTGGTAACAGAAGGGCCCCGTCCGTGAGGGGTTAATGTAGCTCCACCCTCAGGAGGTTATATTTCAATTCAAAGATTTTTAAAAACTACAACAAATCGCCTAAAAACTCTGTGTGATTCGGAATCGTAATTTTTTTCCTCATTTAATTGTCGTTTAAGTTTTTATAAATGAAAATGTTGAAAATTCATTATTTAACACAGGGTCTTATGTGAAGGACGCTAAATTTGACACAGCTCCGGTTAAAACAAAGATTAAAATCTAATTTTTTTTCCTAAAAACGATAAAAAAAAAAAAATATTGGCACCTGTTGGATAACGATTTATCGTTTAGTTTTTTTTATTATTAACAATTCCCAACCAGAATCACGGGAGACTGTGAACAGGAGTAGGCAACGGCTCAGTCAGCTGTCACTTGGCGGGACCTCTCTCACCCGTCACATTATCCTGCAGTGTTGCCACTAATTTTTCCAAGCTAGTCAATTGAAAATCTATTCACACTTTTATTGAAAACAATTAATAATGAAATAATTCTTATAGTTATGTCCTTAATAAATTATTTTAATAATTTGGACATCAAAAAAATTATTTTTGGAATCTTTTTTTTTTCAAAAGCACTCAACGAGTCCAGCGGTAGAGCTACTTTAAGGAACTTCCGCAGTAAGTATACTTGGTGAAAATTTCGAAATGATATAAAGACGCAATATTTGGATCATGTGTTGTTGAGCACATTCAAAAACTATTTCCAAAATTTCAAGTACCTTGTCCACTCCATTTTCGAGATATACATCGTCAAAAATGGAAAAAACACAAAAATTGAATGTTTGGCGATGCATATCTCAAAAATGGGATAGACCAGGGACTTGAAATTTTTGGAATATCTTTTTAATGTGGTCAACAACATATGATCCAAATATTGCGTCTTTATACCATTTCGAAATTTTCACCAAATATACTTACTGCGGAAGTACCTTAAGGGGCTAATGCACTGTGTCGATGGGCAGGCTTAGCTTGGGAAGCTAAGCAGCGTTGAGCGTGTTTACTAAGTGGAGTGGTGACCGCGAGGGAACACCTCGGAAGGAATGATAATTGAAGTTTGGAAAGTAAAAAATGGAAAGAAAAAAGTATGTAAAAACCAATACATAGCGGTTGAAATTACCTCTCCCCAGAATTCTTTTTCCAAACTTGATGACACTGAAGCTAGCCGCAATATCCAGCCGCGGTGGCTAAGAAAGTGCGTGCGGAATAAAATTGCATGGAGAATAAATGTTTTTGAATCCGAAGAGATTGTCGCTGATTTGGGCGCCAGAGCTGTCACGTAAGGCTTACGGGACCCCTCCAAAGCAGATTTGAGCTAATGCAACATATAAATTGTTTTTCAACGGATTGTGTGGATTATAAAAGTAAATTTATATGATACGTGCGTGTAACCGAATGGGTTTCAGTTGACTATAGTCAACTGGAAAGTAGCGGGTTTCGAGCGCTTACCAAACTCAACTAAAACCCGAAATAACACATGCCGCGCATGGGCATCACCTATTAAAAGAGAATAACAAGGAAGGAAATCTAACCTCCGAATAGTGAATACATGGAATGACTGAAAAATGAAAAGGTGATTTTCGAAGCAAATAAAAAAAAAACAAAAACACATGTTTTTGTAAAAAAACTGCGCCAAGAAAAAGTTTTGTTTGGTTCTTACTGGGAAGTAGAAATTTTTGAAAAATACAAAGAAATGAAAAAGAAAGCCAAGTCAGCAATGTCGAATAAACGAAAATAATGCACAATCAGATTTCTATAAGAGAAATAGTTTCAAATCGAATGAGGATTTTAAAAAAATTCTTGATGAAATAAAAAATTAGTAGAAGGAGGACCAACGTCCTTGGCGCGGATCAGAAGATGGAGAATTAGATTGATACTAGACAATGAGTTGAAAAACTCCGCGCCAAGAACGTTGGTCCTCCTACTAATTTTTTATTTCATCAAGAATTTTTTAAAAATCTTCATTCGATTTGAAACTATTTCTCTTATAGAAATCTGATTGTGCATTATTTTCGTTTATTCGACATTGCTGACTTGGCTTTCTTTTTCATTTCTTTGTATTTTTCAAAAATTTCTACTTCCCAGTAAGAACCAAACGGAACTTTTTCTTGGCGCAGTTTTTTTTACAAAAACACGTGTTTTTGTTTTTTTAGGGAGATTTCATTATTTTTTTCAAAATAAACAAGGAATCGTTTTTATATCCTGTAAATTTTTTCATTTTCAATTCAATTCGGCTCATTTATTTTTCACACGATAAATCGTATTTCCAATTAACAATCGAAGTAAAACAAATAGTTCTATTCCACAGTTGTTATTTGCACCGACTTTCAATTATTTATTCAAGATTTTCCGACTGAATTTGCTTCTTCGAGAATTCATTTGTGCACGAAACTCGAATGAAAAATATCTGTGGAATTCATCATTCGTGCACCATATTCAATTTGTAAATTCCCGGGCTTCCCTCCTTGGTGAGTGTGGTTGTATTGCACTGCTACCAACTCCGTAACAAAAAAATGATAGGAGTTGATGTGTGAAATGCGAGAATGTGCATATGAACCCGTTGCTATGCGCGTATTTTTTGAAACTAGCGCCGTCGCGGCCGCAAGCGGCCGCGACGTTGATGCTGTTGCTCATGAAAATGATAATGGAAATGCGCTTTGTTCATTTGAATACGAATGTAATGTGGAATGAAGGGTGACATGGACGTTAGAATCACTCTCAAACTGATAAATTTTTCAAAACCCTACGTAATAGATTCTGATGATTTCATCGATTCATTTCACCAATTTATATTCAAATTCAGTTGGGAGAGCAAGAAATTGAAATCTTCTTGTTGTTTTCTCAAATTAAAGATGTGTATTTTATTTCCTAAATGGTGAGATCCGATGAAAATCGATTCCAATAGATTCTTCTTTGTTTCCATTCTCTATTTTCTCTAAAATCTTATCGCAAATTTCTTTGTTATCTATTGAATAACGCCGCCAAGGCTGCGATGTTGATGCACTGTCATTATTCCTTTTCTCATCTTAACGTGGACACGTCTATGTTTTCGTTATGAGGTATCATCTTGTGAAATTCAGTGTAAGCCTTAGCGAAATCACATCATATTCTTCGTTTCATCGGCCAATATTCAATAAACTGACATTAAAACATTCAAATCTATGTAAAACATGTAACTGTACATATATGCTTATTCAAATAAATATGTATGAGAAAAAACTATGAAGTTCATGAGAGAAAAACAAAAACCATAGACGTATCTACGTAAAAGTACACCTGTATCAACAATACAGAGACTGGTGAATTTTTTACATTTTTTGTATTTCTTTCAAAAATTAATGATTCATCATTTTCTTATTATACTGAGTATTAAGATTAATATGTAAGCAATTCTTCGCAGTTCATCATTTCTTCGATTCCAATATTTCAATGAGCGATTCACTACTTCTAAATTCCTGTGCTCACTGAATGAGGTTGTAACTATGGATATTATCAAAATTCTATTCTGAGTACAAAATAATAATACCCACAACCCAGCATTTTTTAGCCTTCTTTCATTCCTCTTTACTCCTATATGAAAGCATTCAATTATTTTTTAAAATTCGGAGTACCTACTCCTCGCATTCACGATTTTCTTCACAATTTTATTATTTGACGATGGCATAAACTTTAAACTTTGATGAATGCTCTGAAATTTTGTGAAATATCCCACGAAATCCTGAATTTTTGTCTAAACTTGAAAATTTTTGTGGAATTGTT